AAGCTTCAACACATGAATTTTGAGGGCACATAGTCAGACCATAGCACATCTCTTCTGCCACATGAGGACACAGCATGGGAGCCCTCTGCCTTTTCTACCATGTGAAGATGCCACAAGAAGGTGCCCTCACCAGACACTTGGACTTCCCAGAACTATGAGCAATAAATTTCTCTTTTTTAATAAATTATTTAGAACTGTGAGCAATAAATTTCTGTTTTTTAATAAATTATTCAGTTTCAAGCATTAGTATAACAATACACATGGACAATGACAAACCTTGGTGGGGAGAAACAGGGTGTTGCTGTAACAAATACTTTAATATATGGGAGCACCCTTGGAATGTGGTAATGAGCGGTGGCTGAAAGAGTCTGTAGGACCTAGACTGCTGTGAATGAAGCATTCAGGGTAATTATAGAAAGGGCCCAGAAGAAAGGGAGAGCCCAGAAGAAAAGTGAGATACTAAATTTTCTTAGAGATTACTTCATGGTCATGTGAGTGGTCATGATGACAATACATATAGGTGCTTAAGACAATTCTGATGAGATTACAGATGGAAATGGAGCAAGGTGCTAGAAACTGCAGGGAAGTCCATCTTTCTTATAAAGTGGCCAAGAACTTGGCGGAATCGTGTTTGTGTCCTAGAGCTTAGTGGATGACAGAACTTTAGAGGAATCAACTGGGCAATTTAGTGGAAGAAATTTCTGAGCACAGTGTTGAGGGTGCAGCATGACTTTTCCTGACTGCTTATAGTAAAAGGTGAGATGAGAGAATGAATTCAAGACGGAATTCATAATTAAAAGAAAAGCAGAACTTAAACAGATTTAGAAAATTCTCAGTCTGGCCATGTAAAGAATGAAAAGGTGCATTTGGCAGATGACAAGGGTACGGCCAAGTTAACATCTGATAAAGAGATTAGTGTGGATAGAAGTAAGCCGAATGTTATTCACTAAGACCACAGAAGAACATCCCTAAAGGCATTTCCAGGGATTATCCAGGCTGCCACTGTCATCACAGCCTAGATTGCCAGGCCCTCGAGGGCAGAGAAGTTTTAAAGGAATGACCCAGGTCGCCATGGAAACTTGGGGCTTGCTGCCCAGGGCCACCTTAAGTCTCCAATCCCACTTTCTGGTCCAGTGGTCCTTGGGTCACACAGGCCTATATGTGACTCTGGTTAACCTTCCCATAAACCTTGCCAGTGTCCATGCCAAAACTAACTCTGCAGGCACACAGAGTGCATGAGCTGTGGAGGCATGGCCTCCCCCACCTAGATTTCCAAGGGTGTCTCAGGAACTACCACAGGGGTGGGGTGGGGGCTGCTGCAGAGAGCCTCCACTACAGTAAGATCTAGTGGAACTGTGAGGCAAGACAGTCCAAAGACCCCAGAACTACAGCACCACCAAAATACAATGCCAGTGTGGGAGAGCCACAGACACTGGACTCCAACCTGTGACAGCTTTGGGTGTGCTGTGCCTGCCTAATCCATGGGAGTGGGGGGCCTGGATCTTTCATCCCAGGGTGTCCAGAAGGTGGGAAATGACATCAAATAAGATTGTCCTTAAGCTTCAAGATTTAATGTCACTTGACTTGCTAGATTGGGACTTACTCGGGACCTGCTTTCTTCTTTCCTATTTCTCCTTTTAGAATGGTGATGCCTCTGCTGGAGATGCCCATCCCACCACCGTATTTTGGAAGCACATGATGTGTGATTTTACAGTCCCTCAGCTGGAATAGAATTGGCCTAAGGATGGAACTTACCATGAATGTCACCCATATCTGATTTAGATGATATTTGGGCGAAACTTTGGACCTAGACTTTGTAGTTGGTGCCAGAACTAGTTAAGACTTTGGGGGCTGTTAGCATGGAATTTATGTATTTTATATGTGAGGAGGACATAAATTCTGGGGGTGGAGGGGCAGAATTCTATGATTTAAATGTTGGTGCCCCCTCCAAATTCATGTTGAGGTAAGCACTAATACAATGATAGCATTACGAGGTAGAAACTCTGGTTCACATCCCCGGAGAATGGTATTAAGGCCCTTAGGAAAGAGGCTTCTCACCGAAGCAGCAGGAGCAAGAGGCCATTTGGAAAGCAAAACACAGGTGTTTAGAACTGAGAGATTTTGTTTTTTGTTTTTCTGAGACAAAGTCTCACTGTCTCGCTCAGGCTAGAGTGCCATGGCATCATCCTAAGTCACAGCAACCTCGAACTCCTGGGTTCAAGTGATCCTCTTGCCTCAGCCTTTCTAGTAGGTCACCTCTCACACACGTACACACTTAGGCTGTAACAGTTGCTTAGTGATCTATCACATCCAGCTCCCCTAGTGGCCTTGAAGCCCATCACTACACTGAGCTAGACACAGGGAAAAAAGAACACCAGGTGTGTAGTCTGGGAAAGTAACAAACACTGAATCCTTCAGCTAGAGGTCAGAGGGCTGGATGATGAAAGATAGTAACTTGGTGGGAGGCAGATAAGAACTCTATAAAACTCTCTCAAAGTAAGGCAGGCTTTGAGAATGATCTCCATCTTCCTGGGATTCTGAATCTTGGTAAATAAAGGACAAC